CAGGCGGCACGATTCACCGCGCAAGTGACAGGAAACGCGCATGCTAGCTAAAGGCGCGTAACCGCCACCCTGTGTTCGCGCCACCGGGGAACTACGAAGAGCGTGAAGGATCAAATGATAGCCTATATGGAGAAAGGGAGAAATCTGGATGGATGGATGGATAGATGTTGCAGTATCTATAACAACCCAAACACACAGGATTTCAGCATTAGACATTCCCAGTTATTAATTTCATACACTCATCAGATCTGAACGCCCTGTTGAAAAACTTCACACCCATGAGTAGAGGTAAGGCAGCCTGATGATATTTACACCGCATCAGATAGCGTTCCCCCCATGTTAAGGAGAGGGAACGCTATCTGACGGGGTTTATAGGCCCGTCAGATAGCGTTCCCCCCGATGTCATTTACGTTGAGTTGCAATAAATGCTAAACTCTCTGCAGGTTCTTGTCTTTGTCGTCCGCTCTATTCAGCTTGCTTTGGAAACACACGGTGAGAAGGTGGGGGCCGGGTGGTGAGGGTTACGGGGGCGAGAAACGCAAAAGTAACGCAATAGTTACTTTTACTCTTAACTAGTTACTTTTATTGTGGAGTAAATCAGTTAGTAACTCAGTTACTTTTTGGGAGAAGTAACTAGTAACTATAACTAATTACTTTTTCAAAGTAACGCGCCCAACACTGCTTATAAATAGAGTTGAGTTGCAATGAAGGGATAAGAAATGTGGTCTGGAGATTACAAGTGCGCATGTATATTATAAGGAAACGTTGCCGAAAGTTGTGTTGTTTGTAGGCAAACACATTTACCTCAACGGTCGCACCTCTTGCCTCCAGCAGCAGTTTTCATTGACTGTCTTGCTATTTCAAACCATTTTCATAGCAAATCTTTTTTTTTTTTTTTTACATCAGTAACAGTGCAACCAACAGGTGACACAGCATTTACAGCTCCTATTTCCCATTGGTTGGCTTTTGCTGGCCTTTTGATTCTGCTGCTCAGCAGAATTTCA